CATGTGTTAGTATAGTTTATTTTTGGGGATTACAATGTATTTTTGATAGTCTTTCCATGATCAAGAGCCTCATTTTTGTTGTAATGAATGTTGAATGTTTATAAATGATTATTGTGAGTTATTCATCTTGTCTTGGATGGTTACTTTTCTTAATCATATTGCTTGCACTTCCATGGTGACAATGGAAGTTAGATCATGGAATGGTTTTAATGGCATGGAGTTGGAGAACCTAGATAATTCATGGCTTAGGGTTTCCCTTTTGATGGTCTATACTTGATTCTTAGCTTTATGTGCATTCACCATTTAAATTAGGGCTTGATAATCCTTGACTTAGTAAGCATGTTCTAAGCTACATTTTAGTTTAGGTAGTTGATCATTTGAACCTTTGATGGTTTATTCTTGCCTTTCTATTTAAATGAACTTCTTAAGGATATTATAGCAACCTAGTATTGTTATGTATCATGACTATCATATATGTTGTTTTTCCCTTAAATTAATCTTAACCTAGCATATGTATAGGGATGGAGGTGGATTCATTTCCCTAGCCTTCTTTACTTGTACTTCACTCCCTTTAATTCTTGCAAATTATTGTTTTATGCACTTTTAATTTTCTAGCTTAAGTGACATCCAACAAAACCTCTATAAACCCTTCATCATTCTAAGAATGATTCTAGACATTTAGGTTGTATTAGACTAGTGCAGTCCCAGTGGTTCGACTTACCCGACCAATAGCCCTATTTTACAATGATTCGTGCTATTGCGAAGGTTGATGTATAGTTGATCAACCGATCACCGAGCCGGACGCTTAGGGTCCGAGGCGAGATTTTTGTCGAGCCGGACACTCAGGGTTCGAGGCGAATAAATTACTCCCCGGCGTTGAGCCTGAGGGGAGGTTTGCCGAGCCGGACGCTTAGGGTCCGAGGCGAATAAATTACTCCCCGGCGCTGAGCCTGAGGGGAGGTTGGTTTATATTTTTTCTCAAACAACTTATGATGAGGCTGAGGATTAGAAAATGATAAGAGGCCAAGAAAGCGAGTAACAGTGGCTGTGAAGTTTCCTATTTGTTGACTTTGGAGACTTTCCTCCTCCATTGATACTCACTTCTTGGCAACCAAATGTAGTGGACTACGCATATATTAATCGCATTTCTTTTCTATTTCTATCCGATGTGGGATATAGACTAAATTTTGTCAAAAAGGTCGGTGTAAGGAATGCCTCTGGTATTGAACTTGACAGCCTTAAATACCAGTGGACCCTCCTTACACCACAATTAACTATTTGAATATTCCCATATATAACAGAATGTAGCACATATTTTTTTGTCGATGTGGGATAGAAAGTTTTAAACATAGGCCATAACTCATGTTTTTTTTTTCCTTAAAAATCATTGTGACGAATGCTTTTTTAACAGCTTGCTTCTAACATTGCTTTGCATAAAAATTGCATAGTGCGACTTGGCATGTATAAAAATTGCATAATCATAGAGTAGTATGAAAAAATCTCTACATAAAAATTGCAATGCGACGCATGCATAAAAGTTGCAAAATCATAGAGTAGTATGGCCCCCATTTTTATGGAAAGAAATAAATAGAGTAGAATTGTACTGAATATGATAGAAACAAAATAAAGAAAAGTTTGGCTGACTGTGGACATACTCAGCCTTATTTGTGAAGAATTTGTAGCAAAATTGACAAACTTATCTAATGGAAATACCTTTTAAGGTGTATTGCGTTCCAAGGACGCGCAATGGGACGCTCGTCAGCTTCGGCCAAACGATACGCTCCTTTCCCCATTACTTCGTAACCCTATAGGGTCCAGTCCAATTAGGTTCCAGTTTCTTTACATGAGCTGTTTCTTGCTTCAGAACCTAATCGCCTACCACAAAGCTCCTGAATCTGACGCGTTTGTTATAACTGTTGCGCAGCTGTTGCTGATATGAAACAAGCCTAATTGCTGCAGCATCCCTTTTTTCGTCCAGGAGATCGAGACTATGTTCGAGCTGCTGACTATTGTTTCCTTCAAGCAATAAGAATGTCCGAAGGGTCGGAACTGCCACTTCGGTTGGGATCACAGCTTCAGATCCATAAGCCATGGCAAAAGGACTCTTTCCCGTAGGCCGCCACGGTGTGGTTCAGTATGCCCAAAGCACCTGAGGGAGATTCTCGTACCATTTCATTTTGAGTTTCTCCAATTTCTTCTTTAAACAACTGAAAATTGTCCGATTAGTTATTTCAGCCTGTCCATTCCCTTGTGGATGACTAACCGCAGCTAACTTTTGTACAATTCCATGCTCAGCAAAGAATTTTCTTGTACTTCTATTATCGAGGTTCTTACCATTGTCCATCATAATGACTTTTGGGACCCCAAACCGGCAAATGATGTTGTTCCAAAGGAAACTTTTTCCCTGCTCATGGGTCACACTTGAGTAGGCCTTGACTTCTACCCATTTAGTGAAATAATCTGTAGCCAATAGCACGTACTCCTTTTGTTCCACAGTCTTGGATAACGAGCCCACCATATCAATCCCCCATTGTGCGAATGGCCATGGATTTGCCATTGCGTGCAAATCTTCGGCAGGCTGATGCTTCATAGGACCGTGACATTGACATTTGTCACACCTTCGTGTATACTCTTCTGTATTCCGGGACAAGTACGGCCAGAAGTAACCTTGAGTCAGGACTTTATGCACGAGGGATCTGCCCCCAAAATGGTTACCACAATCTCCGTCATGGATTTATCTCAACACCACAAGAGCCTCAGTAGGGCTTAAACATTTCAGGTAAGGACCTGAAAATGACTTTCGGTATAACTGATTGTTAATGATGGCATATTTAGCTGCGGTGATACGGAGCTTCCGTGCTTCGGACTTCTGGTCTGGAAGAACCCCATGCTTGAGGTAAGCTTCCAATGGATCAATCCAGCATGGTTCTCAAGGAATAACTGGAACTACCATTACTTCCTGCAGAGGATTAATGCTGGGCTTGTCCAGAACGTCAATCGGCACAATTCGAATCAAATCCTCATTTGAAGATGACGCTGATGTGGCCAATTGATCTGCTTCGGCATTCTCAACACGAGGTACCTGATAGAATTCGATCTGATCGAATCCCCGTGTAATGTTCTCTATAGCTTCTTTATATGCTTTCATTCTTTCCTCTTTGGGATGGTACTGACCTGTCACTTGATTTATAACAAGATGTGAGTCACTAAAAACCTTTAAGCAACGTACCTGGAGACTGCTAGCCAACCGAAGACCAGCAAGTAATGCCTCGTACTCGGCCTCATTGTTCGTAGTTGGGAACTTCAAACAGATAGATTGTTGCAGCTTGGTGCCTTCGGGAGTTGACATTACAACGCCTACTCCTGCACTTGCTTGATTTGAGGAACCATCGACTCGAAGTTCCCACTGTGGTTCTGGGTGTGCCGGCTCTTCGGGAATATCTTCATACTCGAGAAGGAAATCTGCTATGACTTGTCCTTTATGCGACACCTTTGGCTCATAGGTTATGTCGAAGGAACTAAGCTCGATAGCCCACTTGGTAATTCTCCCAGATAAATCAGGCTTAGAGAGTATACCCCGTATAGGATAGTTGGTGAGTACCACAATGCTATGAGATTCAAAATAATGCCGAAGCTTCCTCTTGGCGTAGATCAAAGCTAAAATAACTTTTTCTGCTTTACTGTATCGCGTCTCCGCATCTGTCATGGTCTTACTTGTGTAGAAGATTGGATATTGCCTCTTTCCTTCATTTCTAATCAATGCTGCACTGTCGATGTATTAGAAATTGCCAAGTACATAATAAGAACCTACTCGGGTTTTGGAGCGAATAGAACGGGTGGTTTAGCCATGTAACCTTTCAACCGACTGAGGGCCTCCTGCTACTGAGGTCCCCATATATCTTTATTCTTGGATCGTATAGCATCGAAGAACGGTTTGCACTTATCTGACAATCGGGATATAAACCGGCTGAGTGCGGCGATCCGACAGTAAGTACCTGCACCTCCTTGCGATTTTTTGGTTCCTGATTCTGGATGAGGGCTTTAGCCTGAGCTGGACTTACCTCTATCTCTCTTTTATTCACTATGTGGCCGAAGAATTGACCTGATGATACCGCGAAGGAGCACTTAGATGGATTCAACTTCATGTTGCACTTCTTCAAAGTATTGAAAACTTCCTGTAGATGCTTCGGATAATCTTCTTTCTTCACACTTTTAACCACCATGTCATCTATATATGCTTCAACTGTCTTTCCCAGCAGATTATTGAATATCTTGTTGACAAGGCATTGATAAGTAACTCCAGCATTCTTCAGTCCGAAGGGCATGACCCTGTAGCAATAAGTCCCCTTTTCTGTAATAAAAGCCGTTTTTTCTTCATCTTCAGGGTCCATAGGAATCTGATTGTATCCCGAGTATGCATCTAGGAATGTCAACCTCTCGTAACTGGTGGTAGCATCAACCATCTAGTTTATCCTTGGCAGAGGGTAGCTATCTTTAGGGCAGGCTTTGTTGAGGTTGGTATAATCTACACAAACCCTCCACTTTCCATTCTTCTTTTGTATGACTACCCCGTTCGACAACCACTGCGGATATTGTACTTCTCGAATGAAACCTGCTTGCAATAATTTGTTTACTTCTTCAGCTATAATGCGATTGCGTTCAGGGGCAAACCTTCGGTGTTTCTGCTTAACCGGTTTGAACTCCGGATCTACCTTCAGGCTATGGCAGGAAACTGTGGGATTGATCCCTACCATGTCCGAGTGATCCCATGTAAAGGCATCCGCATTGCTCCGGATAACATCAATTAATGCCTCATTTTCTTCGGACGTGGAAGAAGAGCCTAGATAAGTAACCTTCTGAGGGTCGCCGAAGATAACTTCCACTGCTTCGAGGGTCTCTTCGGTGGGCTTCGCAATTTCCTCTTCCTCCTTTCCCTTAAGATACTTGGGCAGTGGGCTCTGTAATTGCTATTTGGGTCCAGTTTTGGAAGCCTCACCTGGTTACTGTTGAGTCGACATCCTCTTCGCCTCAACCTCTGTCAGCATATAGCATTCCTTCGCTGCGACTTGATCGCCCCACAGATTAATTACTTCTTTCTCGTTCGGAGATAAGCACCGCATCACCTGGTAGAGGGTGGACGGAACTCCTCTCATCCGATGTATCCAACCTCTTCCCATGATGAGATTGTAAGAAGGATGGATCTCTGTTAAAATAAAGTTCTCCTTCAGAGTCCTCTTCGCCGCGGTTACGGATAAGTCTATTACTCCAAGGGGATCTACTCTTGTGCCATCGAATCCCATTAACGGGCTGAAGGTAGGTCGAATAGATGATGACGCGATCTCTAACTGATCAAAGACCGTCTTTGTGATTATGTTAGCGCTACTTCCTAGATCTACCAAAACCCTCATGATCATACAATTGGCCACTAAAAGACTGATGACCAATGGATCCTCGTGGGGGAGTTGCACTCTGGATAGGTTGTCATCTTTGAATCTAATACTAATGCTACCAGAATTGATAGCATTGACCTATGATATCTTCTTGAGCTTGTGGGTCGCCCTCAATCTGGACCTGTACACCTCCTCGGACTCTTGATCATCTTTAGACCTGCCATATATTGCATGGATGACTTTTACTTGCGTACCTTCTACCTTGCAGGGATAGACCTCGGGGGGCTTTGCATTCTCCTTTGTCATGAGGTAATTCGTCAACTCACCTCTGGCGATCATATTCTCCACCTGTCGCCTGAGGGATCGGTAATCGTTTGTTGAATGCCCATAATCTCGATGATGAGCGCAATGCTTGCTTTTGTCCCTTTGCTCCACGGGTTGCTTTATTGGCTACGGAGTTGTGAACTTCATCTTATTCTTTTAGAAGAGCCGAGCCAAGGTAGTTCGGAGAGGTGTAAATCCTTCCTCTACCCTTTGCCTTTTTTCAGGGGCTTGGGTGACTGGCGTTGAGGAACGTTGGCTTTTTTGAATCTTTGGAGTTGGGATTCTTTCTCGAGGCTTGTTTTCCACTGTCACGAGGGTAGCGTGCTGTGCTCGGTGGGCTATATTTTCCTTAAGCCAAATGTAGATCTGGGCTCTGGCATTTAGAGTCTGCATGTCGGGAGGAGAATACTTGACTAGGGAGGTGTGGAACTTCGTCCCCTGAATCATTGCAAGTTTAAATGTCTCTATAGCAGTTACGGGATGACAATCCGCTATTTCTGATGCATCCATGTTGAATTTTGATAAGAAATCCTGCAATGTTTCCCCCCTTTTCTGCCTTACGGTGAAGAGGCTGGCAATGCTTTTCTTTTGCTTTTTATTTCCGCAATACTGTGCCAGGAACATGGTGCATAGAGTTACGTAATCCGGGATGGATTTATGCGGTCTATTCCTGAACCACTCTAGTACTACTCCTGTCAAACTGGTAGGAAAAACTCTGTACATCTAAGGGTCATTACGATCATCCAAAGCCATCTTTTGAGCATAATGATCTAGGTGCCGAGAAGGATCCCTTGTTCCATCAAACTGGGTGAAAGAAGGCATGGTGAATTTCTTGGGCCTCTCTACCAGATACACATCATCAGTGAAAGGAGTTTTGATTAAAGAATTTTTGTGTTCTCTAGCCATCTCGGTAGGTGTTTGAATCTTCAGGAGTCTTTTCTCGTCAAAGGCATCCTGAACATCTGCATCATCTGGGATTCCATTGGACCACACCGTAAGCTTATGGCTGGATTCGACCTGCTCATCCTGCGTGCGACGAGGAACGTTATCTGAAGCCGCAACCTCGGATCTTGCCTTCCGTTGCTGCTGAACCTCATTCGGCTGAACCTCATTGGGTCGTGCCCCATTAGATGGAACCCCATCAGGCGGAAGTCCAGTAATTGGAGGAATATTCTGACTAGGGGGTGCTGCTGTGTCACCCACTGGTGGCAGTGGTGCCAACTGAGCCAGCGTCGTTTGTAGAGCATTATTCTGTTGTTGAAGCAAGGCGATCTGAGCTACTCTTGCTTCGTTTGCCTGACGAAGTACGTCAAATTGGTGCAGAAACTCTTCACGCATCTTTTGCATCAACTCCGTCTGTTGATCTGCTGAAGATCCTCCGTTCGACATTCTGGACGGTTAGCTGCAGGATTCTCTTGTGAAACAAAAACAAGAATGGGAATATATTTGCACACGATTCCCACAGACGGCGCCAAAGTGTAAGTGCAAAATTCTACTCAACCAATAACAATTGAGAAAAATAATACAACACACTCAAGAACAGTAAAAATAAATAAGAACAGTATCTAAATAAGCATAGAATTGCTTGGATACTTTTATTGGAGGTTTGGGCCTCTATTTATATACAAAAGTTAAAAGAATTATGGTAGGACTCGCGTTGCTTGTCCTCTAATTCTTTCCAAATATCAATTTCTTTACAAATAGAATTCTTTCCTCTTTATAATTCTTCCATTTCCGGATTTTCCTTACACAAAACTTATTCTTTTGATGAATCATTTTCCTTGTAGGACCGGTTCCTTCTTTAAATGGATTTGGGCCGCATCTAACTTGGTACACATAACTGCTGGCGTCTTGATTCGAGCTTTAGTAAAGCTCGTAGTTAGATAGCGGTAGTTTTGGGCTAATGACCAACTCAACTTGGGCTTTTGATGAAATAGGCTTTGACCTTTATTGAAGATAAAGTTATATTTATAATGACGTGAATTGCTCTTATTGGAGGGAGATTTTTCCCTCCACAATCTAGATATAAAAACCTAACATTACATAACCTCTTTTACGTTTTTATCCTAATGGCAAGTCACATGCCTTGCCTTATTGATCACCAATTTCAAAATCAGTTATTATTTCTGACTTGTCTGCCCAATTTGCTTAAAACCAGTGGACTCACGTTTTTTTTCTTTCAAATAACAACCACCTGTCCGGCACAATGCCCAACAAATGAAGGAGCCGGAAGTCTATCAGACGTCAGTTCTGAGTTCAGTATACATCATTGATACGTTAACTCAATGATAATATATTATTTTATGAAATTGATATTGCTATATTAATTTTTACCGACAAAACATACCAATAATTTGGTATCCTCGACGCCATATCTACTCCTTTCATGAACCCACCTGTTGGGCACCGTGCCCAACAAATATATATATGTTGGAACATATATATATGTTACCATCTATATGTTACCATTTAGTATGAGCGAGTAAAATGGAACATGTATATGTTACCATGCATGTGGAACATGCATCTTTTTTTTACTAACGTATCCCATGCAGGGATGGAGGCACTCAGAGAAATTTTTTTTTAATATTATACCCCTTGTAAAAAAATTATTTTAAAATATATATCTATAAAAATTAATCACTATCCCTACAATTTTTTTTTAAAAATTAACACTATTACCCCACAAATTCACATTAAGCTTCCTTAAAGAAAAAGGACCAATGACCCAAATCACTAAAAATATCAATCTAACTATCAAACACGTGGTTTGAATTTTTTTTTACTTATTATAATGGTTTGATTTTTTTTTTTTTTCTTTTTTTATTGTTGCTGTTAAAGGTCACCCCCACTCACATAATTTTCTGGATTCGTCCCTGATCCCATCTGATAAAGTTTAGCTTATTTTTGTCTTAACATTTTGCCAAAACAAAAAGAAAAAGAAAAGAAAAGAAAACTCCATCACTTATAAGACAAAAAATCATCGAAAGTGCAAAATAGTTTAGAGTTCTATTACGAGGGGTAAAATAGTCCGAAAATCAATTTCAAATGGTAAAAATTTCTAGGGGTTTCTACTAAATGTATACATGTTATGTATATTTACATATGTGTTTTCTTAAAATATATAGAAGCTAAATATTACTTGAGAACAGTTTTGGTAAAAATACTAATACTTTCCATATTGATATTTTAACATGTTCTTGAGTATCAAAGAAATGTTTTCTAAAAGATTGCATTAATAGTATTTTGTTAAGTTTTAAGTTATCTTACACACTATATATGAGTACGCATCAAAAAAATATATTTCTAGAACCTTCTAGCATGTTTTACGATGATTAAAACACGTGCTAAATTAATTGAAGTTGATCACAAGTCAAGGAATTCAAATATAGCGAGTTATAGCTGTCTCGATCGAACCCAACATTTATCAATCAATCGACACCTTTACAGCTTCAATCGACAGACTATGCCGATGACATCAATCAAATTGTTTGCGATCGATCAAAGGCTTACACAGTAAGATTGACATAAACATTTTAAATATAAAACTTAATTTTCATATTGTTTTCTAATATTTTAATAGGTTAAGATTAAAATGTTTTGCAGAAGGAAAGATACATATACGTTATATATGCTTCTAGAATTAACTTTTCTTATATTCTATTATATTTTCAATTGATATCTAATATTCGGCTTGAAAAACAAGTCTACTTGAAGTCTACTGGAGACCAAGACATTTGATTTGAAACAAGTATTTAAGGTTTGAAAATACAGACTATGTGCCATCCATCGTGTCTTAGACTGTGTGCCACAAGTGTCAAATATTAGACATTAAGTCTATACAACCCTAGAATGCTTAACATCGCCCAAAAAAAATCGTTTCTTTATTTATTTATTCATGAGTGTTCTATTTGAGAATTTAACTTATATGTATCTATAAAAAAAGTCTATGTGTAACAACTCGAATTTGGGATCTTAAATCATTAACGGGTCTTAACCAGAACTCGGGAACACAAGGGTTAATTGTCATGACAAGGGCAGTTTGGTCATTTACATTGGTTACAAGATACAGTAATTAATATGATGTCATGGGCCAAATCTAAAATTTAATAGAAGTTCTGGGTCAAATGAATTTTTTTATTTTTTATTTTTATTATTTATATAATTATTTAGTTTGTTTTAACACGTTATAGACAGTATGTTTTGTCAATAAAATTAATTGACAATAATTTTAAAAATAGATGCGATCAATTTCATAAAAATAATATATTATCATTGAATTGACAAATCAATGATGTATAAGTGAACTCAAAACTGACGTCTGCTGGACTTCGGGCTCCTTCATTTGTTGGGCATTGTGCCCGACAGGGGTTGTTATTTGAAAGAAAAAACGAGGGTGCTAATTACAATAGTTCTTGACTGGGAAATTTTAGTCGGATTGACGTTTATATTTTTTTTTTAATAATTAATTATTATTTTTCTGCTAACTTCTTTTTAGATCTTTCATTATATATAATTATTATACTAACATCTTAATTGAGAAACTTCAAAAACCTTCACGTTCTATCTCATTTTAAAATTTTATTTTTTACAAAATTTCATATCTAAATGTTTAAAGTTCTAACGCTAAATTTTTTTTTTTTTTTTATTTACAAAAGTACATATCTAAATGTTTGAAATTTAAATCTGAATTTTTTTAGATCCGTATTCTTTGTATTCGAAGTATTGCTCTGATTTTTCACATTAAAAAAATTAAAAAAAAAATTATCATAAAATAAAAAGAAAAAAAGTACTATAATTTTTTTTCAAATTATACTATTTTTTATCTGATTTTATTTTTTTTATTTGAAAAAAAACCAAATACTTCAAAACAGATAATAGGGATCTGATAGTACTTTTTTCACCAATTTTTTTATTTTTTTTAATCTGAAACCTCCACGATTCCATCTCACTTTAAAATTTTATTTTTTACAAAATTTCATACATAAATGTTTGAAGTTCCAACACTAAAATTTTCTCTATATAAAAGTCCATTAATGTTTGAAGTTCAAATCTGAATTTTTTCAGATCCGTATTGTTTGTATTCGAAGTATTGCTCTGATTTTTCAGAAAAAAAAAAAAAAAATTATCATAAAATAAAAAGAAAAAAAGTACTATAAATTTTTTTCAGATTATACTTTTTTTTCATCTGATTTTATTTTTTATTTATTTGAAAAACAATTGAATACTTCGAAACAGAGAATAGGGATCTAAAAAAATAAGATAATTTTAGAGAGAGAACCAGATTATAGTACTTTTTTAACTGGTTTCTCAGTTAGGAGGCTAGTATAATAATTATATATAATAAGAGACCAAAAATAAGTTAGCATAAAAATAGTAATTAATTATTAGAATTTTGTAAAAAATAAATTTTAAAGTGAGATGGAACCGTGGAGGTTTCTAAAGTTTCTCAGTTAGGAGGCTAGTACAATATGAGACCTAAAGGAAGTTAGCAAAAAAATAGTAATTAATTATTGAGAAAGAAAATATACGCGTTAATCCCTAAAGTAGCGACTGAGATTCGACAATCGCGGGGGCGACTGTGATTAGCACCCCTCAAGAAAAAAACACGAGTCCACTGGTTTTAAGCAAATTGGGTAGAAAATATATATATGCATTGTGTGGTGCAGAAAGTTATACTCTCTCCGTCCTATATTAGTAGTCTATTTTTTTTTTTTCTTTTT